CCCTAAATACATCTAGCTATGATGGAAGCTATGGTAACAAGTAACAAAGGGAGATATCGAAGCTATGGAGATAGGGATCAAGCATGTGGAGATGGACAGTTGGAATCAGTGATCTGAGCAACCAACTGACTGTTGGACCGGTTGCATCAGTCGTGTGGTCAACCAACCGATGCCAACTGAGGTGAACAGATGGGAGACACGTAGCCAGGAGACCAGCATCAAAGGATGATCAGAGCAGCCAGAAAAGCGGTGACCAAGGGGAATGATGGATGGTAACCACCTAGACTGATCCATCACCATCCTCAACACTCCCACCTGATGGAGAAGTCAATCCCATCATCCTGGCGCACTCTGTGACCTTGGCAGCACCTAGAGCCTTGGTCAAAGCATCTACAGGCATCTGGGACGTCGGAATGTAGTGCACAGTGATGAGACCGGCCTCAACGGCATCCCTGAGCCAATAGAACACCAAATCAAGGTGCTCCATGTGTTGAGGATGGTGATGGATCAGTCTAGGTGGTTACCATCCATCATTCACCTTGGTCACCGCTTTTCTGGCTGCTCTGATCATTCTTTGATGCTGGTCTCCTGGCTACATGTCTCCCATCTGTTCACATCAGTTGGTATCAGTTGGCATCAGTTGGTTGACTACACAACTGATGCAACCGGTCCAACAGTCAGTTGGTTGCTCAGATCACTGATTCCAACTGTCCATCTCCACATGCTTGATACCTATCTCCATAGCTTCGATATCTCCCTTTGTTACTTGTTACCATAGCTTCCATCATAGCTAGATGTATTTAGGGAGCAGGGATGGAGCCCAGAGTCCTCAGACTTCGACTCACAGCTCCATTCCCTTGCTCCCAGGTCGCTACAGCGCGTCAGACAGTCTCCTACGCTGTTACCATGCGCCCATGGTGCTCTGGGTTCTTGGCCACAGAGATGGCAGACTGGTTGTCCGTCCGGAGTCTTGAGGGAGCGGCTGTAGCTTTGAATCCAAGCTCAGAGAGCAAGTTGCGAAGCCAAAGGACCTCTCTGCCGGCGTAGCAGGCTGCCACATACTCGGCTTCCGTTGTAGACAGTGCAACGGTCGTCTGGAGCTTGCTGGACCAGCTGACAGCTCCAGAGCCCATCTTGAGCACAAACCCAGAGGTGGAGCGCGCGTTGTCAGGGTTTCCACCATGATCGGCGTCCACAAAGGAGGTGAACGGCTCTCCTGACTCGTCAGGCCCAAAGGTCAGCTTGTAGTCAAGCGTGCCCTTCAAGTAGCGAAACAGATGCTTCACGGCGGTCCAATGACGTGGACCTGGGTTCTTGGAGAACCGGGATAGCACTCCCACCGCATGGGCAATGTCTGGACGAGTGGCGATGGCCAGGTAGAGCAGGGCGCCCACGGCGTTGATGTAGGGAACTCCCACCATCTCCGCCTTCTCCTCCGCAGTCTGGGGTGACATGGACGCCGACAACCGAGTGTTTGGGTCCATAGGAGTGAGCACCGGCGAGCAGTCGGTCATTCCAAAGGTATCAAGCATGTCCTGAGTGTAGCGGCGCTGATCCATGGATAACTGACGCTTGGCACGGTCCCGAGTGATACCGACGGCCAGCAGCAGGGAGATGGGCCCGAGATCACGCAGTTTGAAGCGGCGAGCAAGTTCAGCCTTCACGGCGTCCTTGTCTGCCTTGGTCCTGCCAACGATCGTCAGATCGTCGACATAGACCGGCACAATGACGTGGGTGGTGCCTTTTCTCCAAACAAACATGCAGTGATCGCACCGGGTGCGAGCGAATCCCATCTCCTGCAGAGCACCGTCCAGCTTCTGGTACCAGACTCGCGAGGCCTGCTTCAAACCGTACAGAGAACGGTTGAGTTTGCAGACCATGTCCTTGTCACCCTGCTCGAAGCCCTCAGGCTGAAGCATGTAGACGTCCTGCGTTAAGTCCCCGTTGAGGAACGCGTTGGAGATGTCCACGGCGTCTGCTTCGTAGTCCTCCAGGGCACACATGGCAAGGACGGCTCGCAGAGTCGCCCACTTGGCTGTAGGGGCAAAGGTCTCGTTGTAATCGAGTCCAGGGCACTGGCTGAAGCCCTTGGCGACCAATCGAGCCTTATAGCGCTCTAGGGAACCGTCTGCATTGCGCTTGACCTTGAAAACCCAACGACAGCCTATGGCTCTCCGGTCTGGAGGCAGCTGAACGAGGGTCCAAGTCCCGTTGCGCATGTGTGCTTCAATCTCTTCAACGGCCGCCTGATGCCACTTGTCAAAGTCAGGACGACGCATGGCATCCTTGTATGAGCGAGGCTCTTGGCTATGAGCAGCCGCCTTGAGAGCACACGTCTCGAATGTGTTCTGGAAAGCATCGTCTAACTCCAAGAAGTCACCGGCCAAGAAGTCAATGCCTGCCTCGACTGCAGCGGCGATATGAGCCTCCTGCAAGTCAGGGTCGTCTGCACCCGGCCTGAGCAAGTCCAGCTCGTCCTCGGAGCTCTCAGAGCTCTCGGATTCGATGACAGGAGCTGGCTCGCGAGGGCGAAGCTTAGGAACCTCCCACCAAGGCTTGGGTGGAGTCCTGTGCCGGGTGCTACGACGAAGCTCTGGAGGTGGTGAAGAGCTGGCACGACGCTTGGACGCTTGACGCGTTCTGGGCCGTCTACTAGGACCTGGAGCGTCCTGTGGAGCAGGCTGGAGATGTTCAGGAGGCGGGGCAGGCGCAGGGAGCTCAGGACCTTCTGCAGGCGCATCAGGAGCTGCTGGAAGGGG